TTTCAATTAGCCCATAGACTCCGACCGTAGATAAAACACTTGTACAAAGTTTTTTGTATGGCAACTCCGAAGATAAAATGGAAAACAACTGGACTAACACTAGTCTTAATTGATTTCGTAATGCTGATTTGCTGATTTGAGGAGCTCGATGGCGGAGGTAGTTAGCGCGTTCGGCTGCGATCGTTGAAGTTAAGCAACTTTCGCAGTGGTCGGTCATTGGATGGGTGACCAAAAAATTTTCTATCTCGAGTTCCTCCGTGCTTCGGAAAGCACGCGAAGCCGTTGGTCCCGGCTGCATCTGCAGTCGTTAGTACCCGCCAATCCGCACTGGGCTAGCGTGGTGGGTCATGGCCCAATCTCCCTAATCAATCCATAGAGAAGGCCTGTGCCCCAGCAGTGGGGACATTAATAGGCTGATGATGATGATGATTTGCTGATGCTTTTTTTGCGATGCTATAGAGTTTGAAGTGAAAATTTCTTTAGGAATACTTAGCATTTTGGGATGAGGAGAGCAAAGAACTCGCGTCGTCGTTGATAAGCAGCGATCCGCCCCAGCTATGCACGGGTAAGATTATTTAAAAGCGGTAAAATATATCCTTTATTACTCAGCTCATAATAGACACGGTGGCAGACCCTCATGGGAATCCCATGTTTGAGGATGTATTCGCAGGGTTTTTACGTCTGGCATACTGGTGTATAATATAGTACTCGTAAGCTCGTAAGCAGCACCGCAGACGTAGGATAAGAGTGCGAAGACCCGGTCTACACACGACACGCTATACCAGGTACAGGTACGTACCTGGGCGTTTTTCCCCGCCCCCCACAACAACGGCTAACTAGAGCTAAGGTCGGAGTCTCAGAGACGCCCTCTTGTTGAGCCAACCCCCTCAGGTTCGAGTGGTCTAGAGGCTCCAGACGGAGAGGAGACTCCCCCCGTGGGGAGATGCCATCCGCCTGGAACACCTCTAGAGGCACTCGCTTATTCTCGGCTTGAGGTCCCCTTAGGATCTCGCCGTTCCCAAACCCGGTGACGTTGTAAAAGTCATCTGCGACAAACAGCATACACACTCACTCAAAAAAAAAACAATCGTAAGCCATTCGGGTTGTCTAAACGGGCTCTGCGTTATCGCGCACGTGAGACTTGCGAGATGTTAGGTGTGAGGTACATTCGCTGGTGTGCTCTTTAAGGGCGCCAGTTTCTGTAAATAGAGGTATTGCCTGCGTCAACTAAAAGGGAGGCTCATAATAAGACTCTTTACAATCATCTGTCAGATACAAGTGGTGTAGGTTATATAACCGTATACCCGCACCGACTAGCGGCCCTCGGGCTGCTCGCCGCTTGCCGAATGCACCACGCAATTACCTGAGTCGCGAGAGTTTGTTGACAGCAAACCAATGCGACGTTGGTCTTTGTCGTGGATGTAATTCATTTTTTCTCCCCGTCATAGAAAAAAAAATAAAGTTATGTAACTGTAATCTTTAATTAAAACTGAAATTGGTTAAAAGTTACTCATTTTTCAGTGAGGGTCTCATAAAGATATCCATAATCAAATTATAATCAAAATAATTTTGAATTAAGTTAAGGCTGTTACAAGCACTCATGAATGTCTAGAAGCTACGCCATCGGTTCGTAAATCCACGGCGGGAGACCTCGTATTGAGAAGAACCAGCAAGAAATTCAGACGGGGCTGTTTTTTTCTCCGTTTTATTTACAGAGTCATCAAGTTGAAAAATGACTTCAGAGATGATTCATGCGTGACATAATGTGTCACCTTTCATTACATAATGTGAAATATACATTAATTTTTAATCTGAATTTTTATTTCTGTGTCATCATACTAATATTATAAAGGCGAAAGTTGCGTGAGTGTGTTTGTTTGTTTTGTTGTCTTCACGTCTAAACGGCTTTAGCGATTTTAATAAAAATTGGTATGGAGTTAGCTAACACCCTGGATTAACACATAGGCTACGTTTTACTGCGGGAAACTATGCCTATTACGCCGCGGGTAACACCGCGGGGCACAGCTAGTACAGTATAAGTACAAATATTCTTACAAATAACACCTTTTTAATCTTGTTACATTTTGAGCTCTATTTTAAATCGTTTTTAATTTCCTTTACGTAAAACATTATTATAGTTAGCGTAGTAATTGTTTGCGGACATCAGCTCCTCGTGTGAATCGCTGATGTAATTTTGGCATCCTTTGACTTATCAGCTAATAGATATGGCTCTATCAGGGGGTATATACAAATAATATATAATAATAACTATACTTTTTATTCATACCAAAAAACATATAAGGTACAAAAAATTTACAGCTGCTAAATTTATGAGACAAAGTACAAGAATGTATTTTTATTATTAATTTTTAACATAAGGCAGTAGTCATATAATGAAAAAGTACAACTGACAATAGATAGGCTATAGATATAGCCTGTGTTAAGGGATTCAGACCATTCCAATAGGTTCCTTAAGATGACACAGTAATAAGTTGTTACAGGATAGCGAAAACAGATCGGGTAAAAACATTTGTTTATGCAAAGATATTAATATACATTACTGACTACAATAAATATAGGGTGGCACAAAAGTTATCATGTATAATTATGCCAAATGACGTCGTACGTCTATCATATTTGACATTTGTTAACTAGACAGAAGCAGAATACAGACAGATAAGCAATAGAGCACGATACTCCGCAGGAGTGTCAACATGTGTAGTTTCAACACGTCGATGCAACCGCACACACAGCACGTTTTAATTTTTGCGATTTGGCAGCAGGATCTTCCGATTAAACCGCCCCAGACTTCTTTCTTTAGGTGTCGGGGACTATCAACTTCATTTTTTATACTAAAAATAAAAGTAAAATAGTTTTTTTCTTTATTCTGTCTGTCAATAAAAATCGTTTGGAAAATTTGCCTACGTATTTTTCTCTCGTGACATATTTAATTATTTTCATATCGGGGCTACTTGAAATCTCGGGTTAATGTCGGCCAATAACCTCAGACAATCGCAGCCTTTAAAAAGTCATTCGACAGAAATATGAACAGTTATCACCGGAAATCTTGCGGAAATCATAGAAAATGCGATTAAATTTTGTACTCTCAAATGATATCATGTTTTTCACTTAATAGAAAAATTAAAGGTCCTTAGAAAGAATTAAAAAAAAGGTCTTTCCATTTTTTTTAATTAGTACTAAACTTATACAGAAATAACTTTTTGCGTTACCTTGTGGAACGATTCGAATAGCTTTCAAATAATATTTTGATTATTGTTATAGAATTACTAGATGTCCCAGCGAACTTCGTACTGCCATAAAAACATAGGGGTTGGTGGTAGAGGGGAAAAATTTAGAGTTGTATCTATTTTTGTATGATGTATCATAAAAAAATAACAGAAAAAAATGTCATTAATAAAAGTTAAGGCTGAATGAAAATATTAAAGCGGTTTACAGAATACATCTACTTACCAAGTTTCAACGGTGTAGTTCTTATGGTTTCGGAAAAAAATGACTGTGACATTCGGACGGACAGACAGACAGACATGACGAATCCATAAGGGTTCCGGTTTTCGCCATGTGGCTACGGAACCCTAAAATGCATCGGATGAACAACACGCCTATGGGGAGGGGGGACTAACAATATCACAATGATTTCATACTCTCAGATTCAGATACTCTCTCTCTCTCGTCACATGTGAAAAGTGGAAGTGTAAATAATCAGAAATTTCACGACACATTGTCGGCAAAGACGCAAAAGTGTTCGGAACAAATCGACATAATGACGTGTGTGTTTGAATGGGAAACAACAAAAAATACAACAATTGGTTGTATTGTCATTAAGAACTTTCGTTTTGCAATTGGAAAGAGTATCTACACAAATTACTTTGATCGATAACAAAATAATTCCAATTTGCAAACAGAGATTGCTTACAAAAGACATCAACGCGTCACTTGTTACTGACTGATACGTGACGTTACGTACCATACATTTCGTTATAGGATACTAGTATAGTGCAATTTAAATAAGAATAGGAAAGCCAATGACCTCCATCTGTCAAATGTCGCTTGAAAAGTACGGTTTACAAAAAAAACTTGGAACCCTTTAGCACTCAGCTAATTCTAGAATAAAAACCAAACATTTGTAAACAAACAATAACAAATATTGATAATTAATATTGTTTGATTTATTTTCTCATTTATGGACCTTTAGCTATGTCTGGTTGATAACCTACATCGTCAACTAAATGTTACTTTAAGTTGCGTTCATACACAAGATATGCATCTTTTATGTAAACGAAAGTTCGTATATGACTTAGTAATAGTACATGATTATTCATAACTACTCCGGCGGTAAAGCAGAGATGAGCGGAATTGCGGAGCTAGATTCTGATTAATGTTTTTTCTCACACAGTCCTAATAAATAAATATTATTAAAAATCGGTTGCTTTTTTTTCTCAATCTTAGTAAATAAATTTTACTAAAAAAAATGTTTTTTCCACTTAATCTTAGTAAATAAGTTTTAATAAAAAAAACTTTTTTGCTCACTCTACCTATTTGATTCGAATTGACTGCTATAACGTCACAATATGGCGCCCAGTCGGTCCTATTCTTATTTGAATCGCATTATAAGTATCCAAATGTATGACACGATATAAATGTATGGAACAATAACGTATGTAATAACAGTATTACGCAGTAATTATATTAATAGAAGCTCGATGGCGCAAGTGGATAGTGCGTTCGGCTGCAATCGTTAAAGTTAGGCAAGTTTCGCAGTGACTGGTCATTGGATTAGTGACCAAAAATTTACTATCTCGAGCTCCTTCGCGCTACGAAAGGCTTGTTAATCAGTTGACCCCGGCTACATCTGTAGTCAGACCCACCATGTCATGATGGCCCAATCTCTGTATTCCATCCGTAGGAAAGGCCTGTGCCCCAGTAGTGGGGACATTAATAGGCTCATGATGTCGATGAATATTTACTAATAGTATAATTACCTTGCAAATAGTCCAGATTTAATATCACTGGTCCCGCGTTAACAAAGTTCAGATTCAATATCAATTGTAGCACCAACAACGCGAACGTGAAGTTGTAACACAACACTCTGAAGTTTTCCACGAACTGTCGCAACATGCACCTGTGTTGACACTGCACCACATTATCACTGCAGTCCTTTGCTGTTGGTGCGTCGCGCCCGCAAGGCCACGCGCTTATGGGAGGGCCCATGGTGGTTCAGCTATAAGCTTTGCATTTTAAGTGGCAGCCTGGAACAATGGAGAAAATAAGGTTAATCTTCTTGTTTTACACTTTTGTACACTTTTTTTTGCATGGGTAAAAAATGTTAAACTCGCTTCAGGTTAAACACGTGGGCTGATCGCATCATGACACACAATAAAATTGGAAAGGTTGTTGACTTTCAATATATTGGACGAAACATTAAACAGTAACACACAACAGTAATATTTTAATTTACCGTATTATAATAATAAGTTTCTATCTAGGACGTGGCAGCTTTATTGCGAAGAAAATGATTTTTTTTTACAATAGATGTCGCTAGGTGCGCTAAAATGTGATTTATGTAAGTTGATATCTTTAGAATAGATGTCGCTAAGTGCGCTTAAACGTGATTCATGTAAGTTGATTTTTCTGAGACAAACTTTTTTAATGTAATATAAATTGTCATGTTTGTGTACGATAGCACAATAAAAAAATATTGTTTTCTATCACATACATGATAGTACTTTTATACTGACAATTAAAGCAATTCGTGAAAAATTATTCCCTAACCATTCCAAAATATCAAAAATGCACAACGTTAATATTCAAGTTTTCACTTCTGCCGGCACTCCCGGAGTGCAACCCGTCGTTTTCTTTTATTTTGGGTGAGTATCAACCCTGTCGAGCAAGCATCGAGTCCCGGACGGATCCAGTGGCAAGTGCTCCCTCAAGACCATAATTTCCCTATTATTAAATTATTTATATTTGGAGTTCAGCGAAATTTTGTTTTTATTTTGGCTGACAATTAACCCTTTCGAGCGAGAATCGAGTCCCGGCGGATTCAGTGGTGACTGCTCTCAGGACGTTAATTGTTCAGTTGTGAATTTCGAGATCGCTGAAATTGTGATCATATAGATCACAATTTCAGCGATCTCAAGATTCAAACGTAGCTACCTTAAACTTAATTTATAAACAAATTTAAGCCTAGTTAAGTTAACACTAACTCATTGAATAATTTAAGTTTATAAACACAACACTCAAGCCCAGACCAGAAATCGTCATGAAGCCTCTCTTCTTTTATTTGTACCTTCATTTGGTTGGTAATTTGTGTGTAACATCATTTGTTTGTTAGTAAAATTTTATTTTGATTTAAATATCTAGCACTTAAATTATTAAAAAATAAAATCTATAACTGACAAGTTCGTTTCTTTTAACCCCAGGTTTTTAAAGTTACATTTTAACACACATTACTTACTGATTGGTTTATCAACGCACAGTTCAAATCACTGAACATTGTACATAATATTAGAATGAATGCACAAATAAGTCTATCTTATTACATAACTACTCTATATATAAATACTAACAATAAAACTAAAAACCTTAAAAAATAAAATTATTAAATAAAATATATTATTAAAAGGAGTCCCTTTAGGCAAGGATCCGAAGATACTGGCAGCGTTACCCCTTTGAATGGCTAGACTAATTCTTTGTCCGAGGTAGCTGCCAGCTCTTCGGTCTCCTGTGTTATATTAGACGTTGCTGTTAAAATAACAGGAATGCGATTGCATCAAACGGCAACTGTGCATCTCTTATCGATTAAAATGGTTTGGAGACAATTTCAAAAAAAAGACATCAACGAGCTTACATTTATAAGGTTAGTTGGTTAATATGTCTTTCAAGACTTAAAAAAATATAAATAATTTCTTGGTGTGGACCACAATCGCGTTTTGCGCTTAAAATACGATAGTGTTAGTGATACCTCTCACCCACTCTGAGTATTACCTATATGGACTCCTTTACAATTAAAACTGCACAACTTTGGAATAAGCTTCCGCCTGAGATCCGTCACGCTAAGACAATTATCATTTTAAAAAATATTCTACATGATTTTCTTTTACTTAAATCCTAGTCTGCTGTATCTATAAATATATAATATGTTTATTTGTGTAGGTATATATAGTATGTATATATTTGTGTAGCTATATGTTATTTATTTGTTTATAATCTTTGTATGTTCAAGAAAATATGTACATTTCTTTATTTTATCTTGCTGGCATACTGCAACTTCGTTTAGCTATCCTTTACCGCAAAGGTTGTCTGGAAGAGATCGCTTAAAGCGATGAGGCCGCCTATGCCCACATTATATTATTGTTTACTTATTTTTGTATTCTTTTGTGTGTGTGCAATAAAGAATTTATCTATCTGTCTATTTCCAGCACTCACACCAATTAGCCTAGCCCCAAAGTAAGCACTGTAAGGCTTGTGTTACGGGATATCGGGGTAACGGATAGAATAAATATATAGAAATATATATTAAACATCCACGATTGAATTATAAATGCTCGTATTCATCACACAAACATCTGCTTCCACCAGGATTCGAACCCGGGACCGCTCGAATCGGCGACATCATGAAATCTGGCGTACAAACCACTCGGCCACGGAGGTCATTTTGACTTTGAATAGAGTTTGTATTATTGTCCGTAGTAAATTGTTCTGCAGAATATTTTAAGTTACTTCTCATCTCGAAAATAAACTTATATTTTGGTTCAGGAATCCAATGGGCTGATAGTACATATCACATTGTTCCGACAGTAAGAGCTGTATCAATTAAAAAAATCTCTCTACATGAAATACCGCGATGACAGGTTTTTTTTCAACAATCGCATTCCAAGATGGCTGGCCGTCAGCATCGTTCTTGGATCATTAACGAATGAAATGTTTTTATCATGAAATAATTATTTCGCAGTCTTTTGAAATTATTTTTTCTGGAGACTGGTTAGTGCGACGTGCAAAGGTCTTGAATTCGAATACTGATAGGGGCTTTTGTTTGAGTGATGAGCACATTTTTTTTGAAGTAAAACTTCTTTATGCGCGCTTGACACATTCGCTAGCTAATCCCCCAAGTAAGCTAGCGAATGCGTTACGGGTTACGAAAAGTGTGTTCGGGCCAGTCGAGTTGGGGATATAAGCAAAAGAAAGCAGTGCCCGTGCACATTTTCTTTCTCTCTTTCTCTTGAAGCAGTAAACGAAATATGTATATGTACATACATGTATATATTGTACACATATATGATAGAGCTAAAGAAGTTTCACTTCAGTCGTGTGCTCATAAGCACACTCGTTTTTTTCCAGTTGTTTGTTTATATAATTGGGTTGGGTAAATGCGGTTTAACTTGCATTGATTTGAGGAAAAAGGTTATATAGTGGGTCATCCTTAAAAGATAGACATATGCTGTCACGAAAACCATTTATACAACTTTGAAAGGGAAATAACTCCGTCATACATGATTTTTGTGTTACTTTTACCGTTTACACGGTACGTTACGGAAGATCACAAATGGAATATTTTTTCCCGTTTTTTTCTGCAACATTTTTAATTGGGTTTCTGCTCTTATTAGTTGTGACATATTGTTATATAGCCTTAAGACTTCTTCGATATGTGCACTAACCAACTCAAAAATAATTAAATAAAACTAGTTTTAACGGGTTAATGCAAGAACTTTATTTATTTATTGACGTTTCGCAGCCTTATTGACGACGCAGACTTGAAAAGGCTGCGAAACGTCAATAAATAAATAAAGTTCGTGCATTAACCCGTTGAAATTAGTTTTATTTAATGAGTAATGTACGTGAAAACCTAAGAAACAAATACAAAAATAATTATTAAAATACCCAAGTTCCAGTAGTTCCTGAGATTAGTGCGTTGAAACAAATAATCCAACAAACTTTCAGTTTTATAATATTAATGGCACGATTACACTTGCTCGTTAGCCCGAATACGAGTGCCAATGGAATTCGGGTAAACAACTAATTGTAAATGAACGGAGTCGAGTACGCCTGTTTTCGCGTAGATATTTTGTTTACCCGACACCGTCTTCCAACCCGTATTTCAGTGTAAATATAGTTTCGGGTGCCCGAATTCGAGAAATATCTTTCGTGCAGACGAATACGGACTTACGAATGAACGGAGTCGAGTACGCCCGTATACGGGTACATAGGAGGGTGGAGAAACTTACCTTACAGACAATGCCGAACTTTCAGCTAACTCGTGACAACGTGACATACGTCACCCTTTTTCGTACGTACAGCCGGTGTCCATAGATTTATAAGACGTTATCACGTCAAAAAGACCATAGCAAAACAGAGTTAAGTTGAAAGTCGATGCACATGAATAGTATAACCTGAATTAACAAAATTCGACAATTTTCGATTTGAGAAGTTGCGCGCAGAAAATAGTTATGAATACATAATATTGTCTATAATCATATAAAAGATATCAACGCATCACTTGAAGAAGGGGGGGTGAGGATGTTGCTAAAACTTTTTTTAAGAACAGAAGTTTCATTTCATATGGTGTGGTTCGTGCACACAGATTTTTTTTATAATCTTAGGATAATTTAAATGAAAAATTATGTCCGCTACATTGTGTTAGTTAATTAATTAAATGACTGAATTTAATAATCAGTACTAATATAAAATTATGTATGTATATATCTAAGTACTTTCCTAGCAGTCTGTAAGTGGTGTGCCGTGAAAACGAACGGTCTGGTACCGGTAGTGCAACCACGAAACCAGTTAAAACCGGTACTCGAATTAGGGTTGTCAAAGATTATAAAATAATATATTTAGTCCTGGGACTTTGTCTGCCTGGCAATTTCGGTTTCCCGGACAAACTTTGAAGGCCCGTTTTATCTGTGTAGGGGATGAGTTTTGGAAAATCGTTTCTTAGCGTAACCTTATTCTCGACAGGCAATGATTTTTCTAATCAAACGTTATCGACTGATTTCTCCTCGATTTTTATAGCCAAAGAATTGATTTTTATATATAAAATATAAATTTACTCATTTTATGCTCCTATGTCTTCCATTTTTCGATAACTTGTGTTTCAAAGAAACTAGAAGCCCACATAAATACCAAAAATATTATCAATTTTTTATCACCACAACATGGAGGCATAGTATAACTACTTATCATTCTTTGAGTAAAATTTCTTTGGCATATAAAAATTCATTTTTTTTTCTTTAAAAACAATCTTTACTCT